GGCGGGTTAGGCTACATGATCCTTGGGGTTCCTTCCTGCTCTACAGACATCCTGACTAGCCTCCACTGACCACCCCAACCTCCATCATTTCATCCAATCCCAATAAAGCCTTGGGAGGTTGACCGCCATCACTGCCCTACCTCTTGGTAGGAGGGTAGTCAGCTGTTATATGTGCAGAAGAAGAATATTCTCCACCCTGTCATGTTCCGACAGTCAGATTATGCACAGCACATGCGGGTGGTGGACAGAGGTTTGCATCTTGTGGATCTAACAATTGTACCAGGAAGGGAATGCAATGCTTTTTCAGCAGCGCACAGCGGTACACTGGGGCTTAAGTCCTTTCTGTGAGATGCATGCCTAACAGTATCAGTGTGATGTCACAGGACATGGGCACCATTCAGCAATCACACACCGGGATAGAGGTTAAACATAATGCTCGCACACATCACTTCAAAATCACCAAACAGCTGGAAGCAGCCCCACTGACAGGGGAATGGCCTGCATCCAGGCATGAAGAGCAGTGGAAGCCAGTTTCAGGAACTCAACATTTGATCTTAAAAGTACCAAATATTATTTATAGAGATCCCCATGTGGGAAGGAAGCTGCACAATTTGCCTGACAGGAGAATAAATGAGGAATGGCTATTTTCGCTAGGACAGAATGACAGAAACAAAGAGGGACACGGTAACAAGCCAGAGAAAAATATTTCTCTGAGTCACGCTTAGAGACTTCAGATGGGAAAACTCCAGAGCATTTCATTACAGCGCAACAACCAGGTCTGGCACATGAATGATTAGAAGGATATTGTAAAAGGCAAATCACCTTGCACTGCCCCCTAGTGCCATATAATTTAATCCACCCCAGCCATTCTGCTTAGCATAGATACTCTATGTAATAGCATCTAAAATCAGATTTCTCCATGGGGAATGAAATAAATTCACCAGTGAGCTGGACCTCAAATACAGTGCCTATTGCAATTTATGTTGCACCTTGCTTTCTCCTGAACACACACAAAGATCTCAATGAATTATTTAAAGGAGAAGATTTCTACATATATATTATGAAACATCTTAGGCTAAGAACCCAGCAAGAAAGCCTTCCAATTATTTCACCATTTCCTTTACTGAGCTGCACTATACCTACAGCCACATGCACACACAGAAATAAAATTAAAATTGTATTAAATAAAATGTAAAAATGAAGAGCCTAGGAAATAAAAAGCACAGAAGCCAGCTTTCAATCCTACTGACTCCTTTATAGCTGGGATTGTTTGGGGTTTATATCTCTGTTGAGCAGATACTTCAACTATGCATAAAAAACAGATTAAGGATGGAGAATTCCCAGATGCTGGGATATTGGGGTGGGATCACTGTTCTGGGTGAGAAACGTTAAAGACACAAAATTACACAAGGCATAGCCTTCTTCCTCACTGTATCTTCCAGGCAGAGAAAGCCATACCTGTTGAACTCCTACCTACTATATAGATATTACGTCTACACATAAACACACAGAAATGGATTCATATGGTTGGTGGGATTCATATTGCAAGAGTGTGAGCAAGATCTGCTTCTTTTTAATGATATACCAGCCAGCGATTTTTAGCACTTAAACAAATAAGCAACAAAGAGACAGCATTCATTGGCATGATGCTTGTTACCTTCCTACGCTGAAGTCATTTATCCCAAATGATAAAAGCCCACTTCTTTAACCATTGCAGCACTACAGAAATAAACATTAAAACTAAGGGAAAGGAAGCACAATTATACTAACGTGGAGAGAAAATGTAAGGGACAGAGAAGAGAGACTAAAGAGCAGCATAGATATGCAGCAATAAAAAACATACCTTCCATAGCATTGCCCACCCTTCCTGACCTAAGAGGTCCAGAAACTTACATTTTAATGAAAGTAGTGTATTTGAAGGATTCGGGGACCTAGAGTGACTCCCCTCTAGGTTCCATTGGAGGTCACAGAACCCTAAAAAATGGATTTCGAAGGGGCCTATGAGGTCCAAACAATCTTGCATCTGTTTTATAAATCTGGCCATACCCCATGCACAAAAGCTTTTAAATTTAAAACTGCTTTGTTGCATCAAATCAAGGGCACATCCAGTATAGCATCCAGTCTCTAATAGTGCCCAATTGGATGCCTTTAAGATGCTGAAAGGCAGGGAACGCATGAGGTAATATAAGCCAAGATCCTTTTAACTGCCCACATCTGCAGCCATCAGAGGCATTTTGAATTCACCTCTTGACAGCTCAGGGGTATTCAATACGGTGAAAGGAATAAAGTAATGAACCAGGACTCAGAAGATCTGGGTCGATTCTCCGGTTCAGCTATGAAAACATATGGGGTGGTGGTGGATTGGGACTGGTAAAACCATCTTACTTACCTTGAAAACTCTTTTACAAGCACTATAAACCAGTTCTGACTTTATGGCATATAACATCAACAAACTGAGTGCCCATCCAGTTTGTCACAGCTGAGAGCAATTAACAGACCTACGCTCCATGAAAGAATCCAATATTCCCGAAGCCAACTAAAGTTGAGGCCCATATTAAGACCCTGAATCTAAACTGCATGTCCCTGCACATTTGGTGTACTACAAGACATATCAACCCCGACTCTCACAACTAATGATCAGTAGTGAGCTTACAAGTGCTGGATGTTGCAGACTAAAACTGTTCTGAGAGTTTAACTTTGCCCACTCCCGATCTACATGGAAATGTCTTGACAATGCGTGAACCCTTAATCCAGCATTCAAACCTCAATGCAACTGTGCAGGGAAATCTAGTTAATGCACTGTTATTTCTCCTTCTGCAAAAATGGCTTCTACCTAAGATTTTTCCTTAGCACTCCTGTCGTCCTGACATTTGCAAAGCTAATAGCTTGCACACACTAATTAGCAGGTGGGTAGATCTAAAGGCATTTGTAAATGTTTGCACCTTTGGCCCTCTTCTCTGAATGAGACTGAAGACTAACCTTGTTCTTTGCTTGTGGTCTCCATTAATGGAGAAAACATTTGTCCTCTTTCAACAAGCATCCTGTTGTTGAAGCAGACCTTCCTGGAGCAGAAAAGCCAACCTTTTACCTCTTCAGCAAAGCATGCAAATCCATTTGTTCATTTACCAACTGTGCTCATTTGGTACATTTGCTCTAATCCATCCAAGGCTTTGCAAAGCATTACTTTGCAGTCGGTTACATTGCTAAGATATATTTGTACTTCACAATTACATCATTCTAATACCACTTCAACTTTCCTAGTCCCATTCTAAGATTCACAGTTTAGGGACTGTATGTAGAATTCTCTGCTAGACGGTGTTCATGCATTCCCCAAACGAGAGCTGAACAAATGGAAGGGCCACACCCCTGGAGCCACAACAGTTAAAGCAATGACAAACTGATTTAACTATATCATGCAAATGTATATCTGCAAGCACACTTTTAGTTCATTCCAACCAACACAAATACTGTTGGAGCATTTTAGGAGATGAACACATTTGTAACATACGTTTTCTACCTAAAAGAAGGGCAGCAACTTGGGTGAGGTTCGGAGGACAACACTCCCTATGGGTCACAGGAAGCCAAGAAATGAACAAAAAAGCCCCACCCCCAAGATATCTAAACAGAAAGTGTGCCTGTGTCCACTGCTGAATCTGACTGCTTATTTGGGAGTTTTCTGTGGGCATGGGGTATGTGACCCTTCCATTCCAAAAGATGCTATTCTAAGAATAAAAAACCTACTTCTCTCTCTCTCTCTCTCTCTCTCTCTCTATCTCTCTCTCTCTCTCTCTCTCTCTCACACACACACACACACAAACACGGATTCTGTGGGCAATCTCTGGATACCTGGGACATCTCAGAAGGGGGTGCTCCTACCCTGATCTAAAAGAACAAACACACTACCCAAAAGCAGAGAACATCAAAGGCATGCTAAGACCAAAGGGCTATAGAATAATGGAGTTGAAAGGGGGCTCTAAGGCCATTAAGTCCAACTTCCTGCTCAAGGCAGGAATCCAAGGCAGAGCAGATCTGACAGAAGGATGTCCTATTTTCTCTCGAATGCCTCCAGCATCGGAGTGCTCACCACCTCCCGAGGTCACTGGTTCCATTTTTAAACTGCTCTAACATGTCTTTCCTGCTCTTCTCTGAAATGAGCAACTTGGAGTGTCTCTCAGTCTAGGGACCCCTACAGAGAATGGACACTCTGCAGTCATCACCAATGAGAAGGAACCATCAGACAGTTCTCCTGTCATGATTTCAAAGCCCCATGAGGTAAACTAGAGGGAAGACATGCCTTCAAGCATCCTTGTTCTTCCAGATTCTGAAGCACTTTAAAGGCAAAGAGTGGCACCTCAAACACAGCCCAGAAACAAACCAGAAAACTATGACATTTCTACACAGAAATGATATTTTGCTACCACGGAAAATATACCAATAAACGCAGGCACTTTTCAGCCAAGAATTCTAGATTCCTATGTAAGAAAATCATGATTTTATTTTATATAGGCAAGAAGACTATTGATTATTTGGCATACATGCAACAGCATAAACTGTGATAGTGAATTGCCACTAGTAAAAGAATCACCAGTAGTTGTGTAATATGGAATACAACTGGTGACACTTTAGCTAGTAGCAATTTATCCTTGCAGTCTACACCATTGCACTTACACTGGCATACATAAGCAACAAGATTCTGGCCAAAAAAGGCAAATTGTATTTTAAATAAAATTTTTATAATGGGTGTTTAAAAAGACAACTTACATAGGAGATACTTTTCCACATATGCAAAGGTAGCATCCCTAACATCTCAAGAGCAGCTTACAGGATTCTTCTAACTCTGTAAACTCTGGCTTTTCTTCTTCTAGAAACTAAGCCGTAACTATCTGTATCCAGTGGGCAGGCTGCAGTATTTCACATCAAAGCTGGTTGCAAATTAATTCATCAGAGGCACTTAACCGTTAGAGTGATTTAAAAAAGCTATCTGGAGATATTCTGCATACCTGGCCCTCGACTATCCATTTGGAGACAGATGTTTTTCCATCATAGCCAGGCCGGAATTGGAGTGTGGCGGAGCGGGGGCTGATGTTTGAGATCACTAAATTGGATGGTGCACCGGGAAGCTCTGTAAAAGAAAATGCACCAAACGAAAAGGGAGGGAAGTGCATGGTCAGGGTGCAAATATATTACTCAATATCTCAACAGCTTGTGCAGGTGCATTATTTTGCCCTTACAGACCTGAAGAACAACAATGTGTTGAAGGTCCTAGCTAGTCCAACCCCCTACTCCCCACAGTGGCCGATCAGCTGCCTCCAGGAAATGGACAGGGAGCACATGAAGGACAATGTTCCCTTCCCATTATTAATATTTTTTCTCTCTCTGGCAAGGACATAAATTCACGCTTATTTCATCTTTATGCACGGGCAAGGAACCACAAAATTATTCTCCTCGCTCTATGAAAGGCCAAAGTATTTGGGGCATTCTCAACATTGAAAAGAGAACAAGAATGCAGGTGGAAGGGTGGGTGGGCTTTGAACCAAAATTTAATAAATGCTTCTTTAACACACAAAAATGGAAACGGCACAAAGTGGCAACGGCTGCTGTTTTGTTGCACACTATGAACAGAAATGTTCCAGGAGAGGGAATCTTTGCCTCTTTAAATAAGAAAAAGAAAAGGAAGAATCAGCCAGTGGCCCTGTCAATGGGCTTTGCTCCTCAAAGGGAGAGAACTTTAGTTCTGTGCAAAGATCTTGTGGGAAAGAACGGTATTTGTTCCATACTCGCTTCATCTAAAGGTAACAAATTTCACAAAGCTTGAAAGTTCTTTGTTGAGGCATGTCTTGAGTCAAGACAGTCTAAATCAATGAGAACAAAGAACATAATAAATATTTTTCGTGTTGCTGTTCCATAGCAATCGGTAACCAAATGCATCCTGCCTTTGAACCAGGAAGTTGCATGTTGAACTCTGAAATTACACAGAAACTCTCAAAGCTACTAATTCTTTGTTAAGTGATTTGATTGTTAGTTTGAACTACGTGCGTTTGATCACAGATAGGTGGCTCTTTGTTAGAAACTAGATTCCCAACAATGTAAAAAATTGCAAGTACACAGTTTTGTAAAACCTGATGATTAATGCACAAATTGTGTAATCTTGCTTTTTTTTAACGTATGAAAGAGGCACAAACACTCCACAGGGATGTGTGAAGAGGAGGGAGTGGAGGGATAGAGTGGCAAGACTCTCACTTTGCCTGCCACTGAGACTCTCTTCCCCATCTTGTGTGGACAGGACAAGACAAGATCGGAAAGGAAGAGGGGAGAGCATTCCAGCCCAGCCTATGCATACTTTGTCTTTTGTTCCTATTCAGCCTGTATGAGCACAGATGTCTAGGCTGTCTTTCTTCTCTTGAGGCAAAGATATCAGAATTAACTGCATGACATTGATCTACCACAGCAGTAGAGAACTTGCAGACATGGTTGAACTTCAAATCTGATCAGTCTTACAGCGAGGCTCAACAGCAGCTGTAGTACAGGAGGGACACACGTTCCCTTCCCTAATATACCCGGATGCCTTTAACTGAATGGGAACTTGTCCCATTTTATCAGATACTGCAAAGGGCCCCCATTGCCATGTGTTGAGATACCTTCCGAATGTTCCTTGAATCAGTGCTTCTCAAGATACAACTACTGCATATCCATGTTTCACGTAAGCTTTCTAAGTCGCTTCTGTGATCCTGAACGATTCCTTGAACATCACACCAATATTTTTCTGGCAATTTTGTTTATACTGACCTGGGGGAACACCTGACGAAATTGTAGACGAAGTGACCAATCCAGTCCCCTTTGCTGTCATAGCTGCTACCTCTATTGTGTAAGTGGTGAGGGATGACAAGCCTGTAATTTTGTACTCAAGGGTTGTGTTAGCAAGAGTGCGAGCAAGACGGGATTCATTCTTGCTGTATACTTCCCAGGAGATCTGATAGCCTAGGGGGGGAAAGAAAACAGTAACAAATTCAGACAGATATTATCAGAGGTGTCTTCTAAGAAGGATTCTTCTGCAGGCTCAAAAATCCATTCAAAGAATGGCTCATGGACTCGAATGAAGGGCCAGTCACATACTTCTATTTCTTTTTAAAAAGAAAAGCACTTTCTTAAAAGCATGATCTGCTGGGTAATTGGGGGCTAGTTATTGCACAGAAAAATTCACCCTTGCCTCACCAGCCTGACAGAGCCTGTTCTTTGCAAACTTCCAGTTATTTTCTGTTGTGCATTTGGGCAAATTTTTCAAAAATGAACCCACTCAATTTCTCAACCATCTGCTCTGGAGAAATTTAACAAGTACAGGTACTCCCAAGCACTGAGGAGACCATCTTGTAATTGCCTGTCACAAGGGCATGAAAAATGCTGATTTTCTTAGAAGAAAACAGAGAGAGAGCCCTCAGTCAGCACTACCACAGTTTAGTGCAGAGGGATTTAAAACCAGAACTTTCAGAATCTGGAGATAACCTTTGCTTTCTCATATATATATATGAATTTGAGAGGAAGAACTAAACAGATGAATTTGAATTCTTTCTCTCTCAAAATCTTTGCATTCTGAATATGAAGAAATCTATAAAAGCTAGATAACACTCATTAAAAACGAACTGAATTACAGAATGGCTTCACGAAGCCTCCTACTTTTTAGGTCTCTGCTGTTCTGACCAGTGGCTATGCATGCTCCAAATTACGTTCCCATGCACCTGGGTCCAGCTTGCAGGTTGGAAGGTCCACCTCTTCCACCTCATAACTGGAACAGAGGGCTGGCATAAGTAAAAATACGCATAAAGCTCAGCTCTTCTTTCACGTGGGCCATAACTGTCCAATGTGTTTATGCAACTATATCAGCCTCTCTAGAGGAAGGACTTGATGTCTTTTTAGACAGCGCTCCACTCCAACCCAAGAAACCATTGCATCAGGAAGGAGGAGCTCTGCTTGAGTGCACCCACACCTCAGCATCTGCCTTGGAGGCCTGTTTCCCAGATCCAGCCATCACTGGAAGTATGGCAGAAGAGCACTACAGGGAGCTGCAGGGGGGGGGGGAAGCACCCCTAACAGTGCTTCCCAGAGATGTTTGTCTGCTTCCCTGCTGAGCTCTCTATTCGGTGTTAAACAAAATCCCTTTTATTTTCCCAGGCTTCTTAGATTTCTGTTGTCTCTTGACAAGGCTCTGCTTTATTATGCCATTATTGATTTTAACTTGTTTTTAAAGCTGACCAGGAAATTTGTTTTGGAGAGTAATATACAAGTATCTAAATAAACACCTCTCTCTTTTCCTTTCTTGCATTATAATTTGTACCTTGGTCTTTGTCTTTATCTTCTTTTCCTTCAACTATTATACTGTTCTGATTTAATTGCCAATTTTAAAAAATACACCCCTGTATCATACCTGATCGTACGTTCACATTTTGCACTAACCCACATCCTTCTACAAATCCTCCTCATTAGTCTTTCGCCTTATCCAGCCCAAACGAGCAACTGCTGTTGTTGCTCTCAAAGCCCGGCTTGCTGATTGATTTTCCACAGGAGCCGCATCCTGAATTGAGTGAAGGCTTGGATAAAAGCACTGCCGACTCTACCCACTACTCGTTCCTGAACAACACAGGTAAATTGCTCATCTCTGTGTGTTATGTGCTATCAAGTCGCATCAGATTGATGCTGATCCTAGTAGGGCTAAATAAAGATTTAAGGAGAGGTTTCCCCACTACAATTCCTCATGAGAGTCCATGGCCAAGTGGGGATTTGAACCTTACTCTATGCACAACGCCACACTGACTCTCCCATGTTTGCACATCCCTAACATAAGCTCATATAGATGTGTAAAACATACCTAAGCATCTATAGCACAGAATGCTCCTGTAGAAACACATTGAACCAGATACTTTTATGACAATGGACAACTGTCACAATCTACAATTGGGCAATGGTTTATTTGGAACAAGTGGCTCTCCCATATTTTCCCTATCATACATTCATATATCTGATTATTTATTTGTAAGTGTTTAATGGAAAACCCTCATAAAACATTATTGATAATTGTAAGGGTTTTTCTGAAAGGTGGAAAAGAAGTGTTTTGAATGAAGGAAAAGAAGAGGAGGGGCATTTCTACTGGTTTACCAATTGAATTGTCCATTCTCCAGTGCAGTAGGAAATAAATTCATGCCCAAATAACAAGCTTTACTCCAAAGTATAGACTGCAGAATAAAATGAAGCCGTTTATAAAATGAAATAAAATAAAATGTAGTCTTGCCTGAAAACATTTGAACAAGACAGGGGAAAAAAATTATCTCCATGTACTTATGAATGAGCTGCCTCTATAGCTGGCAAGAGCCATGTCTCCAAAGAGAACTGAGGCAAAATGTACAAATGGGATGGTAATCAACCTGGAGGAACATGTTGAGAATTTGAAAAGAATGGAAGGTGGGGGACTTCTGTTCTCCGTAGCTGAATGCAAAGACTTCGAAGCAAGGTGAATCATTTTATCTTGCTTTTAAAGCCCTGTACAACCAGTCCATTGTCCTCCTCTGTACAACACCTGACCTTCCACCTCACTTTTCTATTCTACACTGCCTGTTAAGGCCTTCATGCCTTTGTCCTTTTTATTTCTGCCTGCCTTCCACAACTTCCCTTGAGTTTCTATAACCTGGTATTTTTTTTTAAAGCTTTGCTTCTGATTTTGCTTGTTCTCCTCTCCCTCCTCTGAACCCCTGGTGTCAACTTTATTCACTCAGGAGCACATTTGTGAACCTTTCTTGTCACAGTCTCTGGAGAGCCAATTGGACACGTTTGCTTGATTGCAAACTCCCTGGTGATTAGGATCAGGGCAGAACAGCACTTGCCTCCTTGAAGCAAACTGCTGAAAAGGGCACCCCAAACAATCAAGGTGCTCGAGCAACCCTCGTGCAAGGAATAGTTATAAAGTTGGGTTGGCAGCTTTTTATTTGGGGGGGGGGGAAGCAATGTAGATTTTTATTTTTATTTTTATTTTTAAATGATTTGTATAAAATTATGGATGAGATACATTCTCCCTCAGTCATACTAAAACTGGGATCAACCAATGAAGATGAGCAGTGGAAATTCAGCAGAGCCAAAAAGAATGAGTGCTTCATATACTGCATAGATCAGGGGTGGAAAAGCCGCCTTGCGTTCTTTTTAAGGAGAAAGTTGGGATGAATGAATGAATGAATGAATGAATGAATGAATGAATGAATGAATGAATGAATGAATGAATGAATGAATGAATGAATGAATGAATGAATGAATAGGTTGGGATCCCCAGAGCAATTCTTGTGGCCCCACACCTCCTTAATCCTGTTCAACCTGTGAGAAAAAAATATTATCAAAAATGATTTTTGCTCTTTTTTCATTTAAATTACTCAGTGTTTCCCACTCTATTACACTATATTATACAGTCACAGGTGGTGATGTACTCCGTGGGAAGGGGGAAGGCTCATCTTAGAACAGTGGTTCCCAACCTTGGGTCTTCAGATATTCTTAGACTACAACTCCCAGAAATCCTGCTAGTGGTGAAGGCTTTTGGGAGTTTCAGTCCAAGAACGTCTGGGGACCCAAAGCTGGGAACCACTGTCCTAGAATGATGGGGGTGCCCCTGCTGGGCTAATCTGTTCTTTCCTTGTGGCCTTAGGACTGGAGACCCAAACCAGATAAGGAAACAGCAGATTCTGATAATAAAAGCATTTTCCTTCAGCATCAGATTGCCAAATAAAATGGCACTTCATCCAGTTTCATATTAAAGTTATAACTTGATAGGTCAATGAAAAAGGCACACAAAGGGGTGTAGGTACTATACTAATTATGGTGCCAATATACTTAATTTGACTACATTGACTTTCTGTATTGAATCCATTACTGAACATTAACACTACGATGGACTATGTAAAGACGGGCCTTTGCCTCTGTTTTCTACAACCAAAAAGCCTCTGTGCTTAGACAAGACACTAAATCTTTGATTGCATTGCGAGGGACTCATACTATTGTCTAAAATGGAGCCCTCAAAATTCCCAAATTTCCAGCTCTCTGTGAGTCTATGGGCTACCTCAAGTTAAATATGACACCACTGTATCACCTAAGACACATTTCTTTTTCTGCATCATCCCTCCTACATCCTCAAACAACATGCAGGCAACAAGGAGCTAAGATCAGCCTTCTCCCGCTTCGACTTCTGTCCCTCCCTCTGCTTCCTTTTAACATCTCATGTGATGAACAGATGATATTATTGAACTCTTTAACCTTGGTGCACCTTTGTGTGCTTTTCTGTGCCTTTTTGGTTGGCCTATAAAGGCACCTTCTCAATATGAAACATGGAATTCATTTTATGCCATGCAGCTAATCACTGCTTTTCCTTGCTCGGCTTGTATCTCATATTTTTCTGGGTTTTGCACAGACTTACTAGCTTTTTTCTGCTGACATCCCCCAACATGACTACAGTGAGGGCTCTTTATTATGGCAAAACATGTTATTCTGTACATTTGTTCCCCCCCACCAAGGCCCCATAAAGTGTATCATTTGGCCAATGATACATTTGGGCACAAACATTCTAAGACAAATTCTTGTAATTGGAAAATATGCAGGCACTGTGGAATTGTGCAAGGCTGTACAACTATGTTCACAGGACAGGTACTTTAGATTTTAACCCACATTTGAAGAATGGGGTCTTCAGTTCCTAATATTTTACTACAGTGCTGGATAGCTCAGTGGTTTAGGTCTCCAGCCGCAGAGCCAGAGGTTGGGAATCTGATTCCCCACTGCACCTCTTTGACAGGGGTGGGACTCGGTGATCCATAAGGTCCGTTCCGGCTTTGCAGTTCTAAGATTATGATTATTGATCATCATAATAATTATTAAATCTTTTCAGCTATAATAGCTCTACCTTCCGGTCTTCAGGTCTTGTCCTCAAATCTAGATATATTCTTGGGTCTAGCTTAGTCTGGAATTCACCAGCCACCCAAGTCTTGCCACAGTCTATTACATGACAGTGCTGAAAGAAAAACTGCTTGCACCCAGAACTTTCAGAGTTCACTGATTCAGTCAGTAAAGGCTGAACTATATTTTAAAGGCAGCTTGTCATTAGAAGAGGGGATTCTTTAAGTGCTTTAAAGTATATGATTGCTGCAGCAGAATTTTTTTTTATCATCTGTAGTTTGGAAACTAACTTCATTTGTAAGACAAAATGTCTCAGACGAGATTATTTCTCTGGAACATTAATGTGATTTCCACTCTAATGACAGGCTGCCTGTAATGTACAGTTTGGGTCTTGATCATCTTAATCTCTCCTACAACACTAAAGTTTCAAGGCAAAACACATAATGAAGTATTTGCTTTTAAAAGGAAGTTCTAAGATGAACAGAAGAAATACAACTTTGGAGCAGACCTTCATAATCTTTTCCCTGCTGTCTATGGTAGGTGATATGAATGTACTGGGCGAATAGTATTTCGTTCACATTTTAACTTGAGATAAATTCTAATTTGCCAGGGAACCACAGTCCAGTCTCAGGATATGATGGCAGAATTACAACGTCAAAGCTTCTTTCCATAAGAAAATTCAAGATCAAAATGAGCACATAAACAGGCTCTGAGTAGCCAACTCCCAGATAACACACTGCATGTCGTACTAGTAAAAGGAGAACCCATTAAACCAGACAAAAATAAAGTACTAACTAAGAATCAATGTTGCCAGAAAGGAACTGAACATTCAGAAACCGGAAGTCCAAAGCGAAAGATGAATGAAAAGATCTCATTGTCATTAAAAATGGCTTCTAACTTTAAAAGAAACAAACTGTATCAGGAAAGTGCTCCAAATAACCAAAGAGGTAGAAAGGAATAAGTTTCTTTTGACTCGGGTCTAAGGAAGGAGAAGAAATGTCCCTTACAGGGTGTCATTAGCACCTTCTCCAAAATCTGAAGCTTAACTGAAACTAATGACCAGAAGAGTTTCAGAAATAATTTTCTGTGGATCTGGAGTAAATTCTGTATGAGAGAGCAGTACATCCAATCACAAACTGTCTGTCTGCATCCAGGCCCTCATAAATCAGAGTTTACCGAGGGAGAGAGGAAGATACTGAAACTTACAATGAGAGCAATGGGCAATTTACCAAAGCTGGCTTGCTCCCTCCTAATGCCCTTTGCGCTTTCCTCTCATTCTGTGTGCTGGAATTAAAAACCAAGTCACAATAAATGACATCCATGCACAGGAGTGATGAAGTAGAAGCCTTCCAAGCACTCTAAGATTTCTAAGCAGCATTGTATAAGGTGCTGAACCATTCAAGGGAAATGAATGATTTTGTCACCTCCCATCTCACCACCTTATCTGAAATGTTTGCCATAAGAAGGGAACTTTTCCTTTCTTATAAAGTTTGCCTGACACATCTTTACGCCTGCATTTTCTCATAAATACAAGGGACTTTTTTTCCCCTCCGTACTTTTTAAATCATTCTACTCAGCTGTGGAGCAAACGACGACTGCACTCCTCCAATTTCTAGGCAAGCACAGGGTTTGTGTGGGAAAAGGCCTGTAGGACAGTCCATCTTTTCCACTCATGGTGGAGGCAGCAGGGATGCTTGCCAAGGTCCCATCTGATTATTTATTTATTTAAAGGCATTTGCAAATTGCTGAGGTCTGAGCATTTCAAAGTAGGACATCAAGCAAAACAAATGATAAGACATGATTTGCTTGGTTAATCAGGAAGCAACAAATCCAGCTCTTCTCCTGTTTGAATCACTGGTATCTTTGTAGGTCATCATGTCACTGTTGTAAGTTTAGCATCTTGATGCCTGGGGACAAATGTCCTTTGAATTTGGGGAGATAGGGATCCAGCGGACAAGCAGGAACTAAAATGTGGGCTGAGGAGATGGGGAAGCAACATAAATTTAATAAGCACAAAGGGGTACTAGGGAGCCGCCATCTTCCACAGGCAGATTTCTTTTGTTAAAAAAAGAGAGGCCACTGTTGTGTGCTGCAAGTAATTGGCTCTGTAACTCTTGCAATGTGCCTTTGTTGGTTTTTCGTCTTTGGAAAAGGAGTCTCAGCAAGCTTGACTTCTCAGCCAGAGCTTCTCAATAAAAGCTGGCCTTATTGATCACCGCAGTGTAATGCGTCTGGCCACCCCCTAACCTTTCCTTGTCCTCACATTCCTGTCCCCATTTTTTTGTAAGGTATTTTTTAATGGGGACTCGTGGATACTTGCCTGTAATGATGCCATTCTTCTCTATGGGTTCTTGCCAGCTGACCTTGAGCGAGGTGTCCAGAATCTCGGTGAAACTCAGATGCCCGACAGCTCCTGGCCCTGGCAACCAAAAAGGGAAATCGGTTAGCAGAAGAGACCCCATTTAATTTGGATCTGATTCAGGTTCGTGGGGTGAGGGCTGGCAGAATGAAATATCCAGGGAGCGCGAACACAGAAGCACCTCAAGCCAAATCAAGACATTACAGAACATTATACTGTAGCTACCATGTGTAGCCATTCTCATTATTATTATTGAGGGGAGGGTTAACCCTCCCACCATTTTCATCCCAGCTATTCAAAGGACAAGAGATTGTCAGGAAGAGTTTTCTAGTGCAGACTGATAGATGCTTCTCCTTAGAAGGATGCCTTACTGAGTTCAGTGGAACTTTACCCTTGGCAGATATGTAAAGGATTGCAGCCTTAGCCACACTTTTGCAGTCTCTCTGCCTGGCCTAATTTAATTAATTAATTTCATCAAGGAAAGGCAGGTGAGCTGAATTGTGAAAAGGTACAGCCTCTGCTGTTGCCATAAGCCTGCAGCTATTCCCCTCCGCCCCTGTGTCCTTTACTGACGCTGAACTGATTCTCTCTCTCTCTGTAAGAGTCATATTTTCTCTCTCTCTCTCTCTCTCTCTGTAAGAGTCATATTCATTTGGGTAGGGACCTTGTAATTTTGCCAGAGCACATGAATGTCAGATATATTTGCCCAGCCCTTGGGAGATACAGATTCCCAAAGAGCAATTTCAAAATACCAGCTGCACAGTAATGATCTTCAGGAAGCACACGCTACAGAATTTCCTAAGGATTTTTTTTAAGTTGGAGTTCAACTGTTCTTAAAACAGTATTCCCAGGTAGGTAATGGAAATATGTAAAATAGAACAATGTGTGTGCTTTTTTGGTAACAGACACACTGTTTTTGTTCAATACTGATGCTCAATGAAGGCTTCTAGGCAGATTTGTGGTACTTCTGATTTTCCTCTCCTTAAAAGATCCATTAGGAGAAAAGGTTTTGCTCATTTTGTCCTTGCTTCTGATACCTAAAGAAGGGTTACTTTCCTGCTTTGCTGACCCCGGCAGGCAATTCATATTTTGTTCTCCCACTCCATCAGCACTTTGGCCCAAGCCATTATTCCCCTCCAGCTCTGATGAAGAAAATTTACCCAGCTTTAGACAAACCTGCCTCCACCTCCATGTCAATATTTATATTTCTGAGACCATCACACAGATAAGCTTTTGGGCAAAATAGTCACTTGTTCAAATAACCATCTCAGAGATCCATATCCAGGAAATTTCAACCAGATGTCCAGAGCCCTGGGGTTTCTCCAGTTGGTCTGCAACAAGGACTTGGCTGGGTCTCCTGCAGCTTCCAGGCAGGGCCAGTTTCTCTTCTCCCTTTTCAGGCTGCAGTGTGAGAGAAGCTAAGCATTTCTTTTGCTGCTCTGTGGGGCTGGCTGTGAGCATAAAATCTTCCCTAACAAAAAAGGAGAGAATGATGAATGTGGAGCCTTTTCTGTACCACCATGGGACTTACAGAAAGAAACAGCCTAGCAGAGAGAGCTACAGGAGGAAAAGAGGAAAGCGTCCATGTCTAGCTGGAACTGCTGAGTTCAAATGATCTTGTCTAGCACACCTCAATCTAATCCAACAGGAAGCAGGTGTCATAGGAAGTTAAGAAGCTGCTTTAAGAGAAGTCAAACTAGTTTACTAGCTCACTCACTCCATATGATCAGCTCTGGCTGACTTGCTGCTCTCCAGCATCGCAGCCGGAGACCTTTCTCATCACCTCCCTTGAACCAGAGATACCCAGGAGGGCACATGGGTCTTCTGCAGGTGGTGGGGCTGATCTGCCTCCATGTGATGGTCCTTCCCTTCTTCCTTTTAGGAAAGGATGCAAGAATGCAAGAATAATCCCTCGAACAGCTGGCAAAAGAGGATAAAATAAAAGCAGCAGTAGCACCAGAAAAGAAATGGCCTGGAGCTATGATGGACGGATGTACTTAACAAATACCAGATCAATTGTGCTGGTTTAATGTTTGTCAATAGCATTTTTTTTTCAAAGCCTTACAAAATCAGATTACTTCTTAAGTAAATAATCCAAGCAACAGTTCTGCCTTGCCCCTCCGGTTTTAAATAAACACATTTAAAGTTAAGCAGCTTTGCAGACATCCAGTAGATAGTCTGCAGTCTGCTTAACATGGAAAGGTTCTGATGGCAGAAAATTTGCTCTATGGGTGGAGAGGCGTCATCCGCCTCTTTTCCAGGGAGCTTCTCCCATGGCCAATTTGTCAGCACTTGGAATCAGACCTCTTTAACATTGAGGCTGTCTCTAAGATTTCTCTTTGCAGCAAGGCTGATGAACAGATGGCTATTCTTGGGACATGGGGGACAGGAAACAACCACACCGAGAAGCTGTCCCAATCTCCCTCATAGTCTGGGTTCCTCTCTACAGCAGCAGGGGTGAGGTTTCAAATGGGAAGTGGGGAATTGATGTGAAGAGTATTTGTACCGCACACTAAAGCAAAAAGCTTCTTCTTCCTGCCCAGGAAAATGACACATCCATGCAAAAACAAATGTGAACACACAAAATTACAAATTGGGCATCCTTGCTTTTTTAAAATTTAGAAATACGCTAATCAATGCACTGAAAGCACATTAATAAATGAAAATACGGCTTTGAATGGAGTTTTGCTTGGAACGTTAATGATTTAGTCCAGCAGCACCAAATATTCTGGCCCTAGTTTGTGCTGCACAATTACAACCTTGTACATGCAAAATGTTGTAAAATTGCAAGATAGTGAAAGATTGGAAATTCCCTGCCACCAGGGAATGCTACCATTGGCCAGAAAGATCTTCTCTGGCGCATGCCCTGTTGCACTAAATGAAAACCTCAGAAGAGAAATTTGCACATTTTCCATTAGCTAAAGTACGGAGTTCAGAAGATAAATATTCTGAGAGTAGGCAACTATTTAGGAAGAAGGTGCTCAGCCTTCCTTGTATCGTCCCCTTTACCACAAGAAGTAAGAGAGGCAGACAGAACTGTCTTGGTGGTGGTGCCCCGCATTTGGAATGATATCCCTAAGAGCCAAGTAAAATGAAAAATGAAAGAAAAGGGGAAAAAAGAAAAGGCACTTTACATTTCTAGGCTTTCTTGATCATCTGGCCTCATTTTATTTTATTTTATTTAGCATTTGCCATCCTGTTCTTCTTTGGTTCCTATGTATTGCTTTTGTTTGCTTACTTTTTTTATTTATATACCTTAAAACTTCTTAGTAAACTATACAGGGGGTCTCTTTGAAGACGGAGGAGTAGGATGCTAATCATCCCTTCCCCAAATGAATGAATGAATGAATGAATGAATGAAGGAGAAAGTGGATTACAATCTTCACTGAAGCTTGTGCGGGACTGTCGCTGTGAATTATGCCTGCTACGACTACAAATCTTCCCTGTGTTGACAGGCAGACAGCATGGCTCTTTCTGCCAAAGTTCTGTATCTTCCAAGCTCTCTGAAATAAAATAAGATCTATGTATGCCCAGGCAAGTTGGCTGAGTGTCACCCTCCCAGGATTCTTCCACTGGCAGGCGGCAAGTGCTAGGAATGCAGCAAAAAAAGAAGGGGGGGGATTCATTAAAAAAGGCACAAAAAGGAAGTTTTTGAAATATGCAGGGTGTATTTTAGGTGTGCGTGTGTGAAATCCAATTCATTAAGTGCAGCCTGAAGCACTGCTATTGTCCAGTGTGGACCCGCTGGCGCTAGGACTCCATGCACCGACCCTGGAGACATCTTGTTGCCATGGCATCCACACCTGAGTGACACAGCTGAATCCTCATAGCAATCTCTACAAATTCAGACATGTGGAGGACTCTTGCATCTTCTGTTGATACCTTATTTGTGGTGTCTGATACCTCTCCTTGTTCAACTGGAAGAAATCAGTCAAGCAACAACAGTGTGGAATTGCTGCAATCTGCATCAGTGTAGCAGCTACCCGCATGGAAGACGTTATGGATATTCACAGTATATCCCTATTTCTTCCAGCTGCACTCAAGGAAGCATAGCATGGATCCTTAACCTACATGCCATCCAAGTCCTGGGCAGACCAAGACCTCCTGAACCCTAGCAAGCTTGCTTCAATAGGTACTTTTTAATTTTGGCCAGGGGATGTAATTAAGAGGTGGACATTTTTCAGTGTTCTTTCCCCTGAAGCTTGATTGTGTATTTACCAGAAAGATGTATTAGATTTTGGGTTAGGCATGCCACTGAGCATCATAATGTATAAACAGGAGATGCAGAGCTGACAATAAATGGAAAACATTCAGCTGGCAATCACGGTCACCAAATAGGAGTATAAAGAAAACACACTAATCTCTTTGTTTTCACTGATTTTGGTTGATGGTGCGAGGTAGTATTTTGGCAAGGCATTTTTCTGCCCCTGAAGGTTCCTTGCCTCCAGCTAATCATGAGAAAAAGAGCTATTTCTTTTTCTTATCCACATTTATTTTATTTTATTTATTTATTTTTTGGACTTATATACCGCCCCATAGCGCAACAAGCACTCTCCGGGCGGTTTACAATTTTAATTATACAGGCTACACATTGCCCCCCCAGCAAGCTGGGTACTCATTTTACCGACCTCGGAAGGATGGAAGGCTGAGTCAACCTTGAGCTGGCTACCTGGGATTTGAACCCCAGGGCGTGAGCACAGTTTTAGCTGCAGTACAGTGTTTGAACCACTGTGCCACGAGGCTCATCTGCTTAATTTGTGCAAGCCGCCTCTGCACAAAATTAGTCTCTTTTCTTTTGGAGAAGAAAAGCATACACACACACAGCAAGAACAGAAAAACTACCTGAATGTTAAAACGCAAGCCAACAACTGATGTGATGCTTCTTACCCACCAAAGGCCATGTAAGCAAGCAGCTTCATTGCAGTTTTTCAGTCTACATTATTAATATTAATGTTTTAGTTGTCTTAAAGCATTCATTCTACAAAATTTGCTTAATTTCGGTAGCAAATCATCTTATTCTGAAAGTTTAGTCAACTGCTCCACAAACTTTTGCAGTTCCTTGCTGTTGTGCAAGAAAGACGAATAACAATCTACCTCCTTCCTCCTGGGTGTATATTAATCATACATTTTCAGATAAGAATCTCCACTCCCCATTTTATGATGTCTCACCATGTAGATACTTGGGCAGACACATGCTCCTCTTTTCTGTATTGCGCAACGTTGCTTGTATCTATCAATCAGTCAGCTCAGGCATTCTCAGTGGGAGCCATGTGGCCCCCCTGGGGGACCCTGGCACCTTCGAAGAGGGGCATAGATTCATCTGCTCATGTTGTATCCTTGTTTGCACATAGGCCAAGGCTTTCCTTGTTTGGCAGGGGCCCTGGAACCTCAGAAGAGTTCCTAAAAGGACCATGGCCAAAAAAAGGTGGAGATCGGCTGAGTTATCTGATTAATATAATACAGTAATATAATAACAGTTGATTCATTAGAAACAGTTTTTAAGAAGCAAGCACTTACCCGGGCTCAGTTGTCCAAAGGACAGAACTTCCCCATGAGAGAACTAGAAATTGTTTATAACTATGCACTGAATACTCTTCCAGCACAAAATAGATTGCACCAAAAATACAAATTTGGGGGCTGTGGTGATTATTTGCTTTGGTTAATTGATTCATGAATGGCTCCAGATTAATTAGGAAGGCTTTGGGGGGGGGGGTACATGGACTTAGTTCATTCACACCAGCTGTTATGGAGAAAGCTGGAATTACTTCAGAGCAATCAAGGTGCTCCGTGACTAAAGAATGTTGTTTAAAGGAAGGCTGAAGAAGCTGGAAACATATACTGTAGTCTGCAGAAGAGACATCTGAGAGGTAACAGAAGGATGTTTGTAAAGGACCTGAAGGATCATCAGATGAAAAGGGGACAAAGGCCTGGTCTCTGATCTCCCCAAAGGACTGAGATAGGATTAATGCCCTTAAATTACAGGAACTTTAGGGCAAACATTGAAACATCTTCACAGTACATGCACATCAATAACAGAACCAGTGACCAAAGAGAGAGGGGAGGTGGTCTCTCTCACTCACAATAGTTCAATCAGAGCTTGCTCAGCTATCAGTGGGCTTGTGATAAATCATGACGGAACATCAGTTTGAACCAAATGTCAACAACGCTCAGCCGAGTCGAAATCTTTTAGTGGACAAGGGATACCCTATACTTACTGTCTTCATGAGTCTTGATGAGCTGCAGTGGACTTCGTGGACCATCGCCTGGGGTGGTGAAGCAGAGAATTGAGGTGTAGTAAGCGGTAAATTTCTTCAAGTTGGTTATGTAGCCACTGTGAACCCCATGAAAGTCTGGAGTAATCGTGACTGTGGTCATAGTTTCTGGTGCATCTGTCGGCCAGGCCAGGAGCTAGAAAGGGGGAGGAGGAGAGTTGATTTAAAAGGAATTGAAACCACTTTGAAGATGGTCCCTTCACAGTGCAATACATTCTACCACTAGCATCTTGTATGGCCAATTTTCAAAAGACAAACAGAATTGTCACCAGCATGGGTACATATCTATAGACTTAATCTTTATTACTGTGATAGCTGGAAGGACTTGCACATTACTTCCAGCTACAGACAGATAATCTTCAAAGTATGTACTGCAATAAGTATTTTAAAAAAATCTATGGTAAATGTTAACAGCTTAAAGATTTAATGATTTACATAACAGTGTCAAAGCACCACCCCTCCTGCTTCCAAAGGGATGAATGATCACATGAACAAGATTGTGAAAATAAAAGCCTATACCAGCAACGTGAATTCAGCTCAGTGCTAGAGAAAAGTCAGCAAGTCACTTTCCCAGAGAGTTTCAGGTGCAAGAAATCTGGGGACAACAGACATGTGAGAAAGAGGAAAGCCAGATCTGCATGCCTCTTCATGGTGGTGCTCATTCTGCGATTATAGCCAGGCTGACAACACATTGAGAATGATGCCATTGGAAAAGGTCCTGGAGCCAGAGGTGACCAACACAGAAAAAGTCTGTTGTGTTGCTCTGCACTATGGATGTAAATCCCTACTAGTCACATTAGTGCTTTGCATGGAAGCACAAGACAGGGAACACATAAAACACAGCAAGTATTTTGATGCTCATGACAAGAGAATAAGAACTCTCTCTCTCTCTCTCTCTTTTTTTTACACAAAATAATGTCACACAAACTGACAAAAGCCCTTGCTTCTCTGCTTCTGGTAACAAAAAATCTGGAGCTGACCCCACCCAGGGAGAAAAATGCTCCAGTTGCCATGCAAAACATGCTACTTTTAAAGCATGATTCAGCACAGGTTCCTTGCTATTTGAACTGAAGTCGAGCAGGAAGAAGGATGATCTGTCAGGCCCATTAGAAATTGGTACGCTGATTACTTTTATCGCACAGCAGTAGCAAACAGCCCAATGTGGCCTTTTAATTGCTGTTAATTGATGCTAAATGATCCAAAGAACAGGTAAACAAAGCCTAAAGGGGGAAAGAGGAGGGCTGTTTAGTCAGGGCAAAGGCACACCCATTTTGCTGGCTACTGGGGATCTGTATATAAAACAAGGGTGTTCCCCTCAAAACAAACAAGCAACAATTGTTCCACAGGAATGTACCATTGGGTTTGCTTAGATGGGTTAAAGCTGGGTCTAAATGTCTGCCGGTGGCTACCAGAGAGAGCTATCTGCTATACTTTACCCACAGCCCCATACACATGTAGATATGCAGGTCTGTTATTAGAAATATCAAATCTTATGTCCTCCAAGATCATGGGCAAGGCAGACAGAAGCCTGACCAGCAGTGTCATAACATTCAGATGTCAATCCAATGCACTCAAGCCATAGGCACTCGGAAGTGGTTTCTTGGCAGTTCAAGGGAACGCAGATTGTTCCTACCCCCTTGTCTTACTCAAGGTGCTGAAAGATTCACTGGAATTTGAGCACATTTCAGCAGAAACAATTTCATAAAGGCAAACAGGCAGCCTTGCTTCTCTTTCCTAAATAACATATCTGAAATACAGTGGGAACGTTCGCATGTCAGTAACTGTGTTGTTATGTTTCTTTGCTTCCCAAGAGTTTAGCTTTGCTCAGGACCTCAAAATACAGCTGAGTGCATTTGCCATAGAAACGTGCAATGGGTGGAACCCACTTGGCAAGCAAAAAATTGACTACTGGTAATTTGTAAATCATTACACAAATTATGTAGTACAAGAAAAATATGATAGAAATGTCCTTCCCACATTTTCCATGTTACAGTTTTTTTAAAAAATCCTGTAGCTGCAGAGCCATTTTGGTCTACAGGGATTAAAGAGGAAGCAAAAGAAAGAAAAAAATGTTGACAGCTAAAAGCAAAGATATTACTATCTCTTGGCAAGCGTGAATCAGCCTTTATACATGTTGGAGGAAAATGCAGATTAAACAACAGAGTGAGTATAAAAACAACCTTTAAAAACCAACCTAATGAAGGATTTGAAGTCCATTGTTTCTAAGACTAAAACCCATTATCCTGGCCTTAAGTCTGAGGATGTTTACTCTGGCATACTTTTCATGAGGTTAGAGTACTATTTTTGCAGTTCATGATTTGGGTGATACGGCACTAAGCAGCTGGATTTTTGGAGCTCCTTGGACTTTCTTAACTAGGACCTTTCTAAAACCCATCAATATGATTTTCATGGTGCATCAGGCAGAGTGCCTTGAAAGTCTCTGGTGCATTTCAGCTGTGTCCCTGGAGAACAGTGGCTTTGTGTGGTGGGTACACTGCTCCCTGGCTGTGCCCATAAAATGCTTCATATATGGCATCAAGCATGACAGGAGAGGAGGAAAAAGAAGGATTATTCCCACTAGGGTGGCTGCATGTACCAATGTCATTATTATAAGTTCTTACTTTGGGGTAGATTGCCCAGATAATTGTTGTGGTGATTAAGGCTGATGGAAGTTGTTATTTAAAGCATCTGGAGGACAAAGGGTTAGACAAATATGCTATAGGATTATATGAGAGATGGGGGAAATCTCTGCCACTTCACCACCCCACAAAAGTACATCAACAACTGTGGAAAGAGCTGAACTACAGCAAAGACTTGCTGCATTCTCCCAAAGAACCTGTAACTATCTTGTTATGACTAGAAGTATTTTAACCCCATCCTTCAGTTTTTAGACTCTTCAAACAGGTTACAATTCAATGCACAAAACAAAACTGTTAATGTTAAGAACATCAAATCATTCATTAAGCAAGTTCACAGAGCACCAAATACATCTTGGCCAAAAATGGGGATTCTTTTCATTTTCACATTTTGCTTGAAGATTTTCGGTGAAGGGACCATGTGGGCATTCCATAGGAGAGGTGGTAGAAATATGAAAAGCTCCTCTTCATCATGTTCCTTACTACCACTCCCCCCTATCTGGAGACAAGGGAATGCATGGCATGGCCTCAGTTATTTGAAGTTTGAATGCCCGGCTGTGGATTGGAGTTCCCAGGGTTTTAATCCCATGTCTCCCAGAAAAAGGGCTAATCGAAATCAACCACAGTTTGTGTGGCTGCTCGAATTCAGTGTATAAACCAGGGCATGTCGCACAGTGCCATAGCACCACCAAAATAAGGGGGCTGACAAACCACTTCTAAGGACTTTATGGCTAGAAAGCCATGGAAGGGGTCATCATAAATCAACATGACAGCACATAATTTTAATTTGTTTATTTGAAAGCCAAGTCTCATGCGTGGAGATAGTCTTTTGCACATACTCATAAAATCTGCCTAATTATACCACTATAAGTGTATTTTGATATGCAAACCTTGTATCCTTGATTGATTCCGTTGATGAACTGTTGAGGAGGAGGATTCCACCAGAAGTGGATGGTGGTTGAGTTCACAGCTTCTGTCTGGACATTCTGTGGAGGTGCAGTAGGCACTGTGTAATACCAGGCAGAAAGGCGACAAATAAAATTGATTGCAGGCAGGGATAAGAAATGGAAGAAAAGAGGTGAGAAAGAAGAAACCTTTAGCTGCCATTCACAATTCAAAGGAAACAACAGTGGTCTGAAAGGAGACCTGTGATTTATGCTTCTGATACCTGGTAGTGACTTTAAAAGGTGCTTAATTGGGTTATTTCTCATTTTCTGTTGGAGATTCCTTAAATGGCTCTTTTGGCTTACTATTCTACACATGAGCTTTCCCCCCCAAATCTAAGATGATGAGGATGATGGATGACTACATATCTCCCAATTATCCATTGGCTATAATGGGAATCTCTAGCTTCAAGAGGAAACTCTCAAAGCAACTTCACAACCCTTTTCGGTACACAAGCAATTTATCGTGTGTTCATAGTTGTATTGCAGCACTTTTCTTTGCTTTTAAAAATAATAATAATAGCAGGACTATGACACCACAGTATCAGATAAAAGTCAGAACATGTCTGCATATCCACTTAGCAGTAAGTCCAGTGATGGTTACTTCCAAATAAAAGTGCATAAGGTTGCAGTCTAAATTATACAGCTTCAAACAAATAACACAGGTGCAAGAAAGTAAAGAGATATATTCTGTCATGAGAAAAATAAAAAATCCACAATAGTTGAATTAGGCCATATTAGGCCCACCAGAAGATCACAAAAATGTGAAAAGTTTAAGATTTCTGGATCTCTTCATCAGTCAAGATGTTACAAGATACAAGTTAGGAGAAAAATAAAGAATTGTTATTAACTGGTGGAATTTGCATTTTTAAGATATAATGGGGGAAGGAGGACTCAGTAGACATTTCCATTAGATACATGAAAAAAGAGAGTTGATTTCCCCTCCATTTTAAACTGCCTCCACAGTATAAACTTATGTTGTTATAGATACTTCACTGTTAATACCATGTTTCATAAAGTAATTTATTTGTTCATTATAAGAGTCATTGAAGAAAAGAAAAAAATAAAGTATTTTAAGCATAGTTAAAATATCCAAGTTAACCTACTATCTGCTTATATACATGGTGTCAAGTTGGAACTGACTTACAGTGGCCCTATATGGGCTTTCAAGGTGAGATATTTAAGGAGTGTTTTTGTCCAGTTCCACTTCTTCAGTTTCCATGCTCAAGTGGACACTTGAATTGCGATCTCCAGAGTCCTAATCCATTATTCTATTTACTACATCACATCGAGTACCAACTTATTGCCTACTCATGATTTAAACAACAACAAAATGTGGCTTCGGTTTATTAAGCACAGTAGACACATCATGCAAACCAATGGTGAATAGCTAGAATAGTGCTTGGCAAATTGTGTCCCCAAGTGACTTTACGTGGTGCACTTAAACCGCTACATAACTTTCATTGTCCAAGAATCTATGAGAAGAAACAATGAAAGAACCAGAATATTATGAATATCCATTTTCTGTGTCTGCCCATATCTAGCATAAACAACCTCTAAGAGGAAAAGTGATGATAACCTGTATCCTATAATTGGTAACGATTTCTCAGCCAGATAACACCTCTCCCGTTGGTCATCTGCATTGTTAAAGTGAGAGTGAGCTATGTATATACAAGACTGGAGTAACAGAAGTCATTTATCACTTCAGTTCTACCGCCCGAAACTGATTCCCCAACTCACGACACGTATGATTAATCACAACACTTCGGGGCATTACAACCCTTCCTGTGCGACTCACATACTTAATGGGGTACATCATCCTGAGGATGTCTTTAGAACTAGGTTGAAATATTAATAATGGTAACCTGTTGACATAAAACATTCCTTGTGGTTTTCAAGAGCTGATTGAAGCTGGTTTTTCCTTTATAAAGCAAACATCTTCCTAGTCTTCTAGATTTTTTTAAAAATCTTTTGTTGTTGTTGTTTTTGTTTCTGACCTCCCCATCCTCTGCAAGTGGGGAGACCATCAAAGTTCCCAGCCTTGGATGGCAATAGGAGGTGGGACCTTTCAGCCCTCTTTCCTCTGAGGAGGCACACATGCCCTCGCCCTTTGCACAATTTTCACAATTCATGTAACTTGTGCAACAAAAGTGAGAAGCCTGAGAGTTGCAACCTGAGGCATGACACGACTTCCCTGATATTTCAGTGAGAAGACAAGAGATCTTGAACACTAGGAGGATATTTTCTTGATAAAATCAACCAATCAATGCAAGTCCTCTAAGATCAGGCCAGGAGCACCTTCTGAAGGTGCCATCCCTGAAAGAGGTGAGGGGGGTTGGCATACTGAAATAGGGCCTTCTCGGGTGTTGTCCCCCAACTTTGGAACACCCTCCTTATAGAGATCCGCCTGGCTCTGACACTTTTGGCTTTTCAGCACCAGGCAAAGACCTTTGTTTACCCAGCATTTTAATTAAATAGTATTCTTTAGCTGGCCATTTGAGCAGCAGGATTTATTAATATTAATGTTTTAAAGATTGTTTTTAATATAGGATATTATTATAATATTACCTATTTTAATGGTTTTAATGGTTTTAAAGTTTTAATATTGCTGTACGCTGCTCAGACACCGCTGGTAATGGCACCGCTAAAAAAATCTTGTACATAAAAAATAAAATAAAAGTGGAATGCGTCACTCTGTGTGTGTCTATGTGTTGTGAGGAGGGTATAAAATAAGTCCCACAGAGTGATTTTCAATATGTGAGGTGGAAATAATCATTAACACAATTGGACCATTATCAGCCCAGTCCTAAACATGTCTACTTAAAGCAAATATCACTGTGCTAAATGGGACTTACTCTCAGATACATGTAGACAGAACTGTAACCCTGATTTGCATAATTTAAGTTACACAAATTGAATTGATTTACATTAATCAAAGGGGAAGCTCTTTGGCGCCCCTTGAAATGAATGGGAATCATTACCCTTGGGCAACTCAGTTTCATTTCAGGGGAGCATGTACAAGAAAACTTTCCTGGGATTTCTGCCCAGGATTCAGATCTGCCTCCTGCTGAGACGCCATTAAGGTTGCCCGGTTGTTGCCACTTCTGCTGTACAGAGTGCATTTGTTAAGTAGGAAACATGGCAGTCCCAGTTACGGGGAAGTAAACCCTCTGGTAGGAGGTGACTGTCAGAAGTTTTGCCTCCATAGGGAGGCCTGTCTCACACTTTGAAAAGAAGGATGGCTTTCCAGCAAATGTTAGGCTGAGCACTCTGAAAGCGTTTCACACTGTGTTTCCCTACAGAAGTCATTCTTAAACATTTTCCTGCTGCTGGCGGACTGCACCTCTTTGAGTTATCACCTTCTTTGAAAAATCTGAAGGACTTTGAGGCAAAGGGAGCTCTACCCTTAGGGACTGACACTTGTAAGAGACCTCAGAATCTCTTAAAAGGGTGTCATATGCAAAGAGAGTTGCTTCTGCAGATAACCCTTCGCTTTGGAAGCTTTTACGAAGTCCAGAGAAAGATCCAGAAGTACTTATTTGCGGTGCTCACAGTAATATAGCACATTCAGTGCCATTTTTATGTATTTTAAAAGAGAAAACATGCAGCAAAAGGGGAAGAAGCCAGGATAAATAATAAAAGATACTGTTGCAAGAATGGGGAAATATGGAATTTTGATGGAAAAGGAATGAACCCACTGAAGTCATAGTTCACAGTTTAGATGATTTCTGTAGAGAAAATCAACTTCTCAATCTCAATGCATGCATTTAAAATGTGGATAAAACCAACAGGCTAATGTACTGAAACTTCTTTTGCATGCAAGAGTACAAAAATCTATATTAAATGATTGACCAGCAACTACCATATAAAATCTGTGGCATGTTCCAGTTACAAATAAATTTAAATATGCCAATTGGTAAGCCAATATTCTGTGTGCATGGCACATGACAGTGCCAAATTTTGCGCTGCTGGAAAATGTGGTCTTTCCAACCATAGTATAGGATTTTCATATTCTACCAAATGAGAAAACTTTCTCTGGATATGTGTGACATTCAATATCTTGTGACAAGTTTGAGGAATTCCTCAAATTTAACAGCAATGTTGGCATAACAGAACCAATTTTTACATTCTTCTTGGTAAAGTTCACTTAGCTGGAAATGCATTAAAACCCAGCTGCTCAAACGGCAAGTTAATATGTAGCATTCTAAAACTGCTTTTAACAGAAAAGGTCAGGAAGGCAGAGTGAATAAGAGCCATTAAATGGACTCAGGCAGCAAGGTAATGGGAAAAGGAGAAAGAATTTAAGCTAAGCATGCCACTTCTGTGCCTTGCTACTTGTGAATATGCAGAGAGTCAGAAGAGCAGTTTTATAGATAGAAGCTTCCTGAAAGCTTGAAAGGCCTTCAAATGAGCTCTTCACTTCTTAGGACGTCAGAATCTTCTTTTAAGCACGGCAGAGTGCAGGTGTGTGCCACCTTCTGTGGATTCTTTTCTCCCAAACCTCAAGGCCTTAATATAAAATTTAATATGGTAGTACTTTACACCTCAGTTTTAACCACATCAATCTCATGGATTCAAGGGACCTTGACATAATTTCCTTTCAAACCAGGATGCTTACTAAGAATGCAAGCTTAAAAGTGCACAACTATAGACAGAAGTCTGCTTTCCAGACCATCTCTTTGGGTCAGAGGCAAAGTTGTGTATATGACCTATGCCTGTTCCTTCTGTTGTGTAATTTAAAAGTAATTTGAAATTTCTGCCATTCAGAAGATCACTGCAGAATTTGTATATGGGTTTCTGTACTACAAACCCAAATAATCTACAGTATTTGACATCACCTGCCCTCTCTCCAGAATCTAAGATTTCTTTTAAGGAGTATTGGAAGGTTTGCAACAGGGGTAAGAAGTCTTGGGCCCTTCAGATAGTATTTGAGTGCATCTGAAACTCTTGACTGCATCAGCCTTTACCAGCACAGTCAATGGAGTTAATCCAAATAATAATAAAAATAATAATCCAAATAATACTGGCCATATTTGCCCTCTAGCAAATGTTTCAGTATACT